TAAAACAAGCAATTAATTCAATATGTCAAAAAAAGTTGCAGACGAAGCATTATTATTATTATTATTATTTAATTGATAAGAAAATGTTTCTCTTCGTGGAAACTTAAATGTATAATAAATTACAAGATATAAAAATAAAAGGTTACATGAACTTATGAACTTTTCACTATGTTTCCAGACTTCAAGGATTCTGTAGCATAGAACGAAATGGTGGGATCAAGAAGTATAAGTCATAAATGTATCGTAATAAAACGGTTATCTCCTGCTTCTATCAAAACAGTGTGTCTCGATAAACAGGGGGATGATAAAAATTTATGAACTGTAAAAGACACGACGTCCATAACGAGTAGCGAACCGTCTAAAGCCTATTTGTTTCTTTAATGCCATTAATAAAATGGATCAATAACCAGTTTCTTATTTAAAAAAAAAACAAGACGTGAAGCTAAATTATCTTTTATAAAACTGATCCAACTATTAATATCGACGTACACACGTGCTAGGAACTCTAAAATAAAATGACTAAACTTATAAAAAGCATTCTCATTAATAATTTAAGTTTTCTGACACAGAAGGGTAGAACGAACTTTCATCAAACGAAGTATTTAGGTATTTACTATTTTCAACGAGGTTTTCATATTTAAATCTGTGACGTTGAATTAAGCTTCACATTTTCCGGTTTGACATGGTAAATGTGAATCGGCGAAACGTTAATCTGAAATTTGCAATTCGCTACTGTCACGGTTCATCGATCTTCGTTTAGTGGGGTAATTGCTTACGGTCCCCCTAACGTGAAGCAGTCATCTTGGATGCTTTATTGGAGAAATTGTTCATTTTATACGCTCTGATAAACAATAACAGTCTATACCAAAGTTTGATTACTTACTTAATAAAAGAGACAAGCTCCTCTCGTGAATTGCCACTTACCTGAAACAAACAAGAGAATATCTCATAAATTCCTTCGTACATACTCGTTAAGGCTATACTGAAACATCAAAAAGTCGAATTTTTTTTTGCATTTTTCGAAAGTTTATACCT